TAAAAAAATGATAAATTAAAGTAGTAAATTTTAAATAATAAAAAAAATAATAAAAAAATGGGACAAAATCACAATACAATTAAAGTTTGAAATTTAAATAACAATTATTAAAAGCTTACATGGAATTGAACAAATATTTTTTTTTATTTAATGTTGATGAGAATATCAATTTTTGAAAAAATGTGAATTTAATTTTTATATATTTATTTTAAAAAATAAATAATATTAAAATAAAAAATATAATAATTTGAATTATTGAGTGGTTAAGCCAAAACATTATTTTAATTATTTAATTCAAAAATAAATAAATAAATAAATAGTAAATGCTTAGTGTAGAAAATAATATTATTATAATATGATCATAATATTAATAACATATGACTATATTAAAAAAATGATAAATTAAAGTAGTGAATTTTAAATAATTAAAAGAAAACACTAAAATAAAAAGGGACTAAATCACAATACAATTAAAGTTTAAAATTTTAATTACAATTATTAAAAGCTTACATAGAATTGAACAAATAATTTTTTTATTTAATATTGATGGGAATATCGTTTTTTGAAAAAATACGAATTTAATTTGTATATATTTATTTACAAAAGAATGAATAATATTAAAATAAAAAACTATATTAATTTGAATCATTGAGTGATTAAGCAAAAAAAATTATTTTACTTATTTTATTCAAAAATAAATAAATAAATGGTAAATGCTTAGTGTAGAAAAATAATATTATTATAATATGATCATAACATCAATAACGTATAACTATATTAAAAAAAAGATAAATTAAAGTAGTAAATTTTAAATAATAAAAATAATTAAAAGAAAATACTAAAACAAAATGGGACTAAATCACAATATAATTAAAGTTTGAAAATTAAAAACAAATAAGTATAGAAAAATTGAGAACAAAAATGCTAAAAAAATAACATAAATAGTGAAAAGAATAATGATTTATAAGTGTGTGAATAGTATATGAGTGTAAGAATAATGTTTTAAATAATGAAAATAAATAGTAAAACTATGTTTTACTTTAGTTTTTTCAATAATGTTAAAAAATTAAAAAATTAATATATCAAATAAATAAAATTAATTAATTTGTTTTTTAAAACTAAAAGACTAATTTATAACTTAGTCTGTATTGATTGTATTGTAGCTGTTGACAAGTTACTATTGTTTTGTTACTTTTTCTTTTTGGAATTACATTAAGCAACACATTGAGATCCGTGAAGGACACTCAAAACAGCACAAAGTCAAAAAGTTTGCAGCCCAAAAAATTATTATAAATCATAGCTTGAACAATAACTTCATGAGTTTATTATACTTTAGAATCCAGTCAGTTTCTTTCTTTCCTCCTTTTGAAATTGTGTATAAAGAAAAAGAGCTTGGAATCATATGATCTGAGTCAAAAATTGGATCAACTTCCACTTTAGCTACTGCGTAGCCCTTAGAAATCAAATTTGTCTGGCTCAAAAGATAATTTTTAAGATTGAATATAGTATCAACAAGAACCCATCATTTCAAGGCATATATCTAAATTGGGTCCAAACCATAAAAAACCTAACTAGACAACTTTCATCCATGAACAAGAGAAGGAAAAGGTCAAAAAAACACAAACACACACGTACGTATGGCAGATGCGACCACACAATAAACCTGTCTTTTATTTTCTGTCTTTAATGATCAATGGGATTTCAGACTAGTTTTTGCAGATCAATTCCAAATCCATCTCTCTATCTGATTTGATAAATAGCAGGTACGCTTGCTCAAAAGATGTTAAAAAAAAAAAAAAGAGAACAATGCCGATTAATAGTGGTAAAGAAATGAAGAAATAGGATTCGTGGTATGATTAGGGATGGAGTTGTAAATCTGGGTGGATTGTAAAATTATGTTGTTGGAGTATGTTGGTAATAACAGGGACAAGGGAAATGGAGAGGGAAGATAAGGGGGACCCCTACCAATTAATTCCATGATACAAGCAAGGTTCATGAACACAGACAGACTGCTGACACTGTGTAGCTGTCTTTCTTTATTTTATGTTCTTTGGAAATCACATGTATATTATCACCTGAGAGCTGAGGGTCATATGCCCTTTTGACTCTTTTTCGATTCTTCTTTCATCCGGATTTAACTGTTTCTGATAATTTGTTGAACTCTTCTTCCTAAACAACAAATTGAATTGTGGTTTTTTTTTTTTTTTTCAGTTCTTTTTTCAAATTATACTGACAAAATTCTGTTATACTTTTCAGTGGCATTTGATATAAAATGTCATTTAATGTCAATTTTTAATACGAAGCATTTTCCTTTTGCTCAACACAATTGTTAGACTCATACTTTGTGTTATATATAAATTAGATGAATGATCAATTTTTTCTCTGGATTTTAATAGTAAGAGTATTTTCAGATTATTTTTATTCAATAAGTCCAACTTTTTATCTTATCAGATTTTAAACCCATCATTTATATCTGAATTGATGTAGTCATGATTTTGTTTTTAACCTCTTCTATTTTTAAACTTTGAATAATAATATGGCATAGCCTACCCTACAAAGCTAGGCCTCTCGGGACAAACGATGAGCTCTTTCTTTCTCTTTGATGCTTAACATTCTGTTTGGATATTTACTCGCAGAGAGGAGAAAAAAAAAAAAAGAGAAAAAAGAATTAATTTTCATTAATTGTTTGAATAAATATAGGAATAAAAGAAAAAATATATATTTTTCTTGTTTAGATAATTATAGAAAAAGAAAGAAAAGAAAATATATTATTATACATTTATTATAATATCTCTATTATTATATTTCTATATTAAAATATTTTGAAGAATAAAAATGATAATGCCTTTTATTTTTTATTATATTTTGTCTCACTTTTTTATCAATTTTGAGAGAAAAGTGAGCCTCATCATTTTTAAATTTGTATATTATTTTTTTCCTTTCTATAGGTTTTTTTTAAAAAAAAAACAAACAAGTTAAAAAAATTTTTCCTCAACATTTTTTTTTCTTTTTAGCTTTTCACTCTATCCAAATACAGGTAAGTTAATCAGCACAAATATGGAAGAGAAATGAGTTTGAAAAGACTATATATGTTGTGTGTTCTGCAGAGTTTGAAAGCAGTGAAGAGATTGAAGACGAAGATGGGAGATTCAAAACCTTACCCTGAGGCTCGAGGCTATATTTATACAACCTTGAGCCTTGGCAACTTCAGATCATCATTAACTAGGAGATAGATCTTAAAAATTGGCGAAACACTGTTGAGAGTAGAGGCTGATGTCACAAGCATTGCGCACTCAACAAAGGCAGCTCCTAACCCTAGGGACATGCAAGCATTTAATGCATGAACGATTTGTCTTTGTAATCAAGCCGAGTCAAGTCGAGTATCAAGGTTTTTAAAATTGGTTCGTGTCAATTAAATCAAATTCCAGACAAACAAAATAGTGTTCAATCTTTATTTGTTAATTTGTTTTGTAGAAATTGCGTTTTTTCGCGAAGATAAAAAAAAACAAAAACAAAAACAAAAAAAATATAATAATTAATTCTTTTAGCCCAAAACTATATAATTGTTAAAATCATTTAATATTTCATCTTATGTGTATTCTATAATAACTTTACACTCACTGTACACAAAACTATTGTTTTTCCATAACAATTTTTAGAAATAATTAAAATTATTTTTTATGTTCTAGAAAATTTCCGACCAAGTAGTAAGTTAAACAAATTTTGTTAATAAAAATAATCGAGTTTTAAAATTGTTATTCAGCTTGGTTTGTTTATAATAATCGAATTCAAACAAATATTTTTTATAATCCAACTGGAACCAAACTCAAGTAATTTAATTTGTTTTACAATTTTAGTCACGGAGTAGGCTGAGATTTACTCACAAGGGCGTGAGTCCGGTCGTATCTGGTCAGATAATCTTTGATCGGACAAGAATCGAAGTCTCTGTCCGGAATTGCCTAGAGACCCATTCATGTATAGATAATGGCCGGCCAGAGATTGTCCGTCGTGCGGAGAATTTTTATCCGAAGTAGCTAATGCGTCATGTCGGTTCCTTGTCAGGCCTATATGCCATGTGCTATATCCAGGAACATCAAAAGAATCCACCAAAATGTCAACTCGCCCTCCACATCAAATCGTATGAACAAACTCAGTCTTCGAAGAATAAATTCTCGGGGAGATTGTATTGTATTTTCACAAAATAGGTGTCTAGCTCTACACATCGTAGGTGGGTCAATTCTCACTCGCAAGTGTGATTGGTTCTTGAAAAAGACAAATATAAGGAACATGAACACCCCCTTTTCATGGGAAATTGGCCCACCTCACAAATCCATAGTGGCCCATTTTAGGACATATCAATGTATTTTACAACTACCATGTTTTAGGAGATATGAATGTATTTTACAACTACCATGTTTTTCCTGGTAAGTAATTTTCAGGCTTGTTTAACCTTTCTGCTTTGATCTCATAGGCAGATCACTCAAGGAATACGTTAGCTCTTGTGAGTAAATTATGCTTTAGTCCCTGGTTTTGAATGCAATCATAGCTTACAAGACTTTTTGTTTTTTCTCAAAGAATCTAAATTATCGGAGGCTTTTGTGATTTAGTAAAAAAAAAAAAAAAAAAAGTAATTTGATAAAACATTTGTCAACAGAAGTCAAAATAGTAAATTATTGGTAATGACTGAGTTATAATTGGATTTAAGACCCAAGGAGTAAAGAATAATTTAATCTTACATATTTCACCCATCAAATAAAATCTAGCATCATTTTATATTTAAAAAAAAAAAAAAGTTAGCATCATTAACAACATATACTGCCACAGGAATCAACCTTTCCCAAGCATTACAGGAACAAATGGCTTTCAGATAACCAATGAAAATCAAGAACGAAGCTCAGAAAATATTACATAGGAGAGCATGAATGAACTTTCAAACGGTTCACTAGTGGTGAAGACTTGGCAAGGAAGTATATCATTGAAGAAAAAGGGGCTGCCTGCCTTTAAAGTGCCCTGGCAACACTTTTGAACTCGTTCAAGCAAGATTGGAGTATCTTCTGACGCTTCTGAAGAGATTGGCGTTCATTCTGGAGCACATCAATGGCACCAGGTGCAACAAACATGTCCATGAATTTCTCGTCGTTGACAGCAAACATATCCAACCCAAGTGCCACAACAAGACGGTCCCGACTGTATCAAGCAGAAACAAAATGAAGAAAATTACTACTCTAGCCAGTTCGTTCATTTAAGGCAAAGCCAATGATAAAAGTACAGAGCACTTAAAAATCACCATGTCACTTGGTGGAAACAATAATAACCACTGCTTTATCGCAAACCTGCCCCTGCCCCATGACCATGCATCAGGTATCTACTACACATTGCTTTACCAGGTTGGAACCTGGCTTCTCATTTATTCAAGTGATTGCGATAGCTTTCGCACAGCTAGTTATTGGCAAACATTGTAGTAAGGGCATTAAAAAACAAATCTTATGGGTAGGGGTCTAGGGAACCTGATTGCGATAGCTTTCGCACAGCTAGTTATTGGCAAACATTGTAGTAAGGACATTAAAAAACAAATCTTATGGGTAGGGGTCGAGGGAACCTGATTACTTGCTTAAAGTTTAGAACCTGTTCTCTGATAGGACATCAGCTAAGCTAACATCAACAAAGTGGCGGTATGGCATTGAAACCACAAAACTACAGTGTATTAGGCTTCTGAAAAACTAAAATGCTCAAGGGAACAGAATTATTTTCGTTCTTCTTTTTCCTGTACATGAAAACAGGGGTCAAGGGAACGGTATAGTACTACAACGGAAACAGTATCCTACTTAAATAGAGATCACAACATCCATCCCTAACTGCTAAAACATACTGCTTCTGAAGCAGATAGATTGAAGGAAGCCATTATCAAAACATACCAGCATAATTCAACATGTACGCTCATGCAGAAGCAAATTGGTTTCAGAATGACGAAAACTCACCAGGGAGTTAAGAATCCAGAGTTCAAAGTTGATGTCACGCTTCGCTCCACAAGAACTTCACGTATCCGTGCAAAATGCTGTGCAGCAGATGAGCAGATTTCCAAGTATGCCGAGCCTGATCTTGCACCGCTATCCGCATTTCCAAATAGAAGACTGCCACCATTTTGAACACTTTCAGTATTCTTGGTATTTCCTGTCATTCTCGACATTCTCTTTCTTGGTCCAATTTCATTGTTAACATTCTCCTTCCTCACGCCAGCATGTACCACATCATATGGTTGGTCTGGAGATGGGGTCTCAGGCACAGTCATTTGGCTCTCTTTGAGAGCTTCTCTAGCTTCTGCAACTTTTCCTGGAGTCGTTTGCTGTACATTTTTTTCCGGAGGTATATTCTCCTGGTCCCTCATCGTTTCATCATGTGATGGTGCTCCAACATCTGACAATTCCAGATAAAATGGACCAGAAGAAGCTTGATTGAACTTAAAATAAGACGTTGCGCTCAAGCCAAAGCCTCCTTGAAAGTCATTCTCATAACAAACCTGAGAATATGGGCTTGTAACTGAATCAAGGTGATGCCGAACTAGTTGCTTGCACTGTTTGGCAAGATCCTTTATGAATCTGCTATAAGCACGCCTTAATGCAGCATGAAAACCAACATACCCATCCATATTTCCATTTTTCTTATCATCTGCACATTGGAGAAGTAAATAATAATTTGCAAATAAATTCAAGCAGTAAGCGTTTCAAAACTATAAATAAATTGTGAAAAACAAAGAAGTTGCAAATTACATGTGATCAGATTCCTAGGCAAAAAATGAGTTTCCAACTCCCCTCTCCGACAAGTAAGTGGATGGTGCAGTAATTTTCTCAGTATTTGAAAGTGATCAAAGGGAGAAGAGACCCACCAATAGCAAGGTTTGGTGTAGGATGTCATGAATATTGAAATTGTAAAAATCTACGCCCTAAGCTTCTGATTCCCATGACTTGCCATGATAAAATCCATGGATTCATTCCTTTTCCTTTCTTCTTTTTATATTATTTGTCATTATTATCCCGTAAATCCATATGCCCTTTTTATAACAAGAGAGAAACGCAATTTGTACCCGTAAAATTATTCTGAAAATGGAAAAACACGGCCCAAAAAAAGTCACAACAAGAAAGAGACTTAAAAAGCTTCTTACATTCTGAGTCACGCATGTGATTTCTTTCCAAAGCAAGGTCAAAGAGATTCCCCAGAACAAAGGCAAGCCGATCACAAGCTGTGTCAAGTAGGGGAGCAAGCCAAGAGCGGGCAGCAGCCCGGGCGATCTCTGCAGCAGCTTCTGTTACACCTCTACCCCCGCCACGACCGGCATGGGCAAGTAATATATTGGCCACCTGTTTCAAGAAGGCTGGACGATTTAGCACTCGCTGTTTGCCGAATTTAAATGCTGACCTTTTAAAAATTTATACCTTCTCCCTGGATACTGGGGGACATTCAATGGAATATGCAGCACACCGGAACTCATGCATTACCCTTTCAAAAGCAGCTCCTCCATACAGTCTAAGAGTTGCATTGGGAGGTTTTATATCTACAGTAACAGCTGGCCAACTCCCAACACCACTCTCTGCCTGCTCCTCCTCTGTGGTTTTCCCCCACTCCTCAGGGGCAGGATCTGCCGCTCCATCAATTAAAGCCCCCTTCACATATACACAAGAGAGCCAGAGCAACTTTATAACTTGATCACTGTAACAGCTATATGATTTCTCATGTAATGATAGGTAGAGACTCAAAAGTTATTTGCTATCTACAAGTAGAGGTGCATAATTCTTAGCTAAAAAACACTTAAGAGATAAATGACATATCTGGCTGAGAAAAGTGATCGGGTACAAATTAAAAATTCCGCAAATATATCTTGAATAACCAGAATGACCGCTTACCACATGATTGCTAATAGAAGCTGCATGCAACATCGCAGATCTCCGCAGATGAGCAACATCAGAAGTGGCCAATATTTTCGAGTCCATTCTAGCCAGCTCAGCATTAACTTCACCACAGCGTTGCTCAAGGAGAGCTAGGGTTGCTGGAGCAGCTTCTTTGTATCTCTTTTGAAGTTCAGACTCCAAATAGTCCCTCAGACTGCTGAAACCAATATAGGGCCTAAACTTTTCTTCATCAAAACCTCCCTTGACCCCATCACGTAAATGGCGTAGGATTTCGGAGTCCACCTCAGATATTTGTCTGCGGAACTCATCATTTGTGATGGTGTTTCTGTCCTTCGGCAGAGCCACAAAAAAAGGACGAGTGTTCTCCCCTAGGTATCCACTTGCACTTAGATAACGGTCCACTTCCCAACGGTCACTAAACTCCTGCATTGGTAGAAATTCCCATGAATCAGAATGAGGCACAAGTTCAGAGTACAAGTTACGGAATATTTTTTCACAGCATGGAAGCAAGGCTCCTCTCTTGTTATTTTCTCAACAACAGAATGATCCCTATATTCAAACACAGTTAAAGCTGAGATCTTCACTTTATGCTCTTTCAGACAAGATTGCTGTTGTGATTCATTTCCATTCTGTATAGTATTCTATTGATTTCTCATTGACTATTCCCCTTTATCCTCATCAATTTTTTTTTCTCAAAAGAATTTATTGTACCTTGAGCCGATTGTCAAATTTTGAGGCAACAATTACAGTCCTTCTGAAGGTTGGATCAATTTCCCTAATTTCATCCAACCATAAAGATGAACACCATTCCACACTACTCTGTTGAAGGAACAAAAGAATACGATGGGGAGGACTGGCCAATGACTTCACCATTGAAAGAATTTCATTAGGTGTGTTCTCTGGTTCACCTTTCCTTGCCTGCAATAAAATTTTTTCAAACCAATAAAAAACATTGAAATAACAACTTTCCAAACTTTCACTTCAGCTTAAAACAAAACAACCAACCTTAAGGACAAAGCCTGGAGTATCAATGATAGTGAGGTTAGGACAATGTGCATATTCTGCTCTCATTACAATTGGCTTAGAAGAAACTGCGGTTTTAGTCCTTTTCAAAAGGGCCTCTGTACGGGATTTTATAATGTCTGCAATTGTTGTTGAAGATACAACAGAGCTTCCATATTCCTCAGAATCCTCTTCCTGTTTTCAACCCTCAGATTTCAGTATCTTGAATGACTAAAAGTACCAATTAAACCAACTAAATTCATTAACATTTGATCAAACACTACAATAATGCATTAGCGTTTCAAGAATCTATCGACTATAGATAAATTAACTTCTACGAAACAAATGTGGCTAATGCATAAATGCTTGATTACAAAAGCCAAGATCCTTATTTTATTAAATCCAATAAGAACCACAGAATTCCAATTTCAATTGGCTTTTTTTTTTTTTTTTTGGTTAGTTGAATTCATATAAGCAATTTTCGTTCACATTGTCACTAACCAATTTTCCATTTCTCTCTTTCATTCTCTGTTTGCCAGAAACAAATCAAAATAATTCCAAATCCAATTGTGAACACTCAATAATACTCTAACCCGATATAACAAGAACCCTTAGTTCAAAACAGAAATCGAAAGTCCCTATCCATTCAAAATATCATTCAATACGATAATAAAAATATACCCACATAAGAAATCACAAGAAAGAAGCCTTCAAGACCACAAAAAATGGAACCCGCGCAAGAAATCACAAAAAGGAACCCAGTTCAAAGACCTGAAATCGACAACGCGGTTCAAGTGCGGACGGGTCATGAACCATCTGAAGAATGAGGGGTCTACGGGTACCCATTTCGACTTCACGGATATTGAACCTAAATCCAAGAAGTGCTTCAAGAAGCGAGCTTTTTCCATCAGATTGTCCACCCAATGCTACAATTTCAGGGATGGGTAGTTTCTCGCCGAATGCAACTGCTGCCGCTTGCAACCGATTGTATGCTTCGAATCGAGAGTTTGAGGTGTTATTTTGGTGCTTTCTTGAAATAGATGAAGAATTTGTTGATGGGGTTTTAGTGGGTGTGGTTAAGTGTGTGTTTGGCGTTGCCATCGTCGAGAGAGAGAGAGAGTTGTTTTTTGAATTTGAAATTTTGTGGGAGATGGAGAGAGACGTTGAGACCTGAGAAGGTCTTTGGGGAGGGTGGGTTTTCTTGGGCTTTTTAAACGAAGAAATGAGGTAACGGCCCTACTAACATTATCTCTCGGGCATATTGAACTAGTTGTTTGAATTCTTCAGCTCTGGACTGCTGACTGGATCTTTCTCTGCCTCAAGTCTTTCGTTAGGAGGCAATGAAAAAGATTAAGTATTTCTATTTTTTTGCTTCTGTTTTCAATCAAGTGTCTACGTTTATTTTTATTTTTTTAATTTCAGAGTATATTTCTAATTATTTATCAATTAAATGTCTCTATTATTAAAATTTTGATGTTATTTTTAATAAACAGAAACGTTTTGTTTTTTAATGAAAAAAAAAAAAGTTATATATCGTGTTTAATGAGAGAATTTTCTTGCATGTTCTTCTTTTTGTGGGTTATTGAGAAATATTAAAGTACAACAACTTGAAAATAATAATTAAGAAGATAATTTTTCTTTATAAAACATGATATTACTCTCTTTCTCCTTATTATTATTATCATTATCATTATTGAGTTTAGGATTCTAGCCTAGTGTTTCTTAATAAAAAATGAACCAAAAAAAAAAAAAGAGAGAGAGAGAGAAATTTCTTCTTCTTCTTCTTCTTATTTTTTTTTTGTAATACTTTTAAACTTTGATTTTCATTCTTTTCCAATTAGATGAATAATGATTTCACAGTAAGAATTACGACATGTGTCTATTTATCAAACATGTTATCAAATAATTTGAAACAAAGATATTTAATAAAAGAAAATAAAAGTACAACTCTATCTCTCTCTCTCTCATTTGAAAATCATAAGAATTCATCATATAAATTATATTAATATATTTAAAAAAAATCATATTCCAAAATTTTATTTAAAAATTCATACATAGAAAATAATAAATTATATTTTCTTAACAAATAAAATTATATAAAAATAAATTAAAAATTAATTGAACGTTTCAATAAAAAACAATAAATTGAAGAAATCATTTTAAATTCTAAAAGAAAAAATTAAAAAATGAAAAATCACAAAAAAATATTTTTTTATTGATAGGTTACATGAAAAAAAAATTAAGATTATTTTTTTCATAAATTTCGTACAAAATCAATAATAAAACAATTTGTTGAAAAAAAAAAAAAGACAAAAACAAAGCCAAGCTTGCACTTTGGGCCTGCAGAAGCAAGCTCGGGCTGTCTGGCCACACACACAAAAATAAAGAACCAATGGAGGTTGCGCAGACAGCAGATGACACGTCGTTCAATGCAACATTAGATGAATTTGAGTTGGTTGAAAAGTTTGCTAGAAAAAATGGAATTTTTTTAAAAACATTTTTACTCTAAAACCTTACTTATGCATTATTTTTTTTTCAAAATAGTTTAAAAATACTAAAATGAGTTCAACAAATATGTTTGGAATCTTAGAATTTATTTTAATATACATAAAAAAAAAATTATAAAACTCATAATGTTTTGAGGTCTCGATCTACCTTATTCAATTATTTTATATCTTAAAATCACTATAAAAAAAATTCAATTTTTCAAAATAATCAAATTGAATGGAACATCTCCTGTCAAAATAGTCAAAATATGCTTGGCTCGTAGTTTCTCTCTCCTCTCCTTTCCCTCTTCATTTCTATCCTCTATGTATTTAGAAACTATAATGTGTTATAAATGAAGCCGTAAATCAAAATAAAAAAATTAAAAATATTAGAAACTAAAATACAAAATTTTGTATACAATTGTCTAAAAAATAGCACGATAATTATAAAAATACCATGCTTGAGTACATAGTGTATACATCAGTTTTAAGCTATAGTGAATGAACAGTAACTATTCTAATTTTTTTTCTTTTTTGGATATGTGGTAAAAATAATGACTTGATTGGTATGGTCGTCCAACCTAGCATTGTTGGTATTGATAAAGGCTTCAAAGAAGTAACATAAAGATCTGCATCTAAGGAAGTTTTTACTATAGACGAGGATTATGAAGGAAATCACATGAAAATATTTAAATTAAATGTTAGAATATTTTTATAAAAAATAATTTTAATAATTCATTATTAATTATTAAAATAATAATATTTTTATTTACAAGCAACAATTTATGAAACCAATTTAATTGGTTTAAAGACTCCTTAATATTAAAGAAAAAAAGGGTTTATAACGTCTTTCAGTTTCATAAGGACATTACCACTAATGGCTATATGCTTTATTATGATTTATTGCTCTATCAAGTCTAGCACCTATATATAAACAGTGCATGTTTTATTAAAAAAATAAAAATTAGTGCACATGAAAAAAGTTTTTTGTGACTTGTTTTGAATGGTTATTTCATAAACTACACATAATATAAATCATGGTCCTTTAGGTAAAAAATAATATACTGTGTAATTATTAGAGAGCTTTATAAGCGGTGTAGGCTTATAAAGTTGCAACAAAAATGGTTAGACTATTATATCCATAAGATGAAGTGCAATATATGATTAATCTGCTGCATTAAATGAACTTTGCATACAGAAAGTGACATGTTTGTGCTTTAGTCTAGTCATCTTTTAACTTCTTAAATTATGATGATTTTAGTGGTTCAATCAGTTTTATACTATGAAACCATGCTAACTTGATTTTAATCCCTAATTTTCTTAATGATCAAGGGAAAAATTTTAATTCTTTATTCACCTTAATTTAGAATGGATTTATTTATTTAGTTTGTGATTTTTATTATTTAATTATATTCTTTTTTATTTTATGTGTTAGGAGCAACAACTTGAGACGAAACGATGTCCGTTATTTTGTGATTAAAATCGTGAAAAGAATTTTGACATGAAAAATTAATATTGCATTTTATTACGTCAGCATTAAGAATTGATTGTATTCACATGATTAATCTTATGCAATGATTTGGCTGAGTTTGGTTGTTATATAAAACGGTTCTAAACTTACACATAACTTATAATTAGGCATGTAATGTGATGTTTTGCTTCTCATGAGTTGGTACAATCACTATTTACTTCAAGATGATTTATGAACTACAAGTTAAAAATTATATATATATAAACCTAACTACGAGTGATTGAATAGTGATTTGTGAGGGGATGAATTGTAATATCCGGTATCCATTAAAAATGTCACTTAATAATTTTTTTTAAAAAAAATATCAAAGGTATATGAAAAATATTTTGTGGGCATGGAATGATCCTTAAAGGGGTGCTAGAATATTCGGAGTAGTTAAAATAGTCTTTCCATGCTCGGTGAATATTTTGTTGATTTTTCGATGCATAAATAGTGACTTTTATGTGAAATAATTAATTCAAGCATATTAAGTGTGTATGAATTTTTTTTATTTAATAGAATATTTTCTAGAGGGGTGTTAGATTATTCAATGTCATTAAATGAATTTTTTGATGCTCGCGAATATTTTATTTGAACTTTATTGTGTATGAATAGTATTTTTGAGGTAAGTTAATTAATTTTAAGTACTTTAAAGGTATAAGAAAATTATCCAATGAGCATAGAAAAATCATTTAGGATGTGTAGGAATATTCCATGAACTTGGTTGAATTTTTCTATGAATAGGGAATATTTTCTATAGAAATAAGTGTAATTCTATATTAAGTAATTAATTAGAAGGCTAAATAAGCGTATAAAAATTATGTGAATGATGATTAAAGGATTTTAGGAGGTTTTTGAATTTATTATGAAAAGAAATTGGATTTTGGAAAGGTATGGAGTAAGATTTTAGAATTAGGGACCTAATTGCATAAAATTAAAAGTTTAAACTTTGAAATTAAATTAGATATGAACTTTAGGAATTCAAAAGTTGTTAAGAAACCTTTAAAGGAAGACCTAAGATAATCGATTAAATAATTGAAGGACTTATGGAAGAGTAATTAGAGAAAAGATTAGTAACTTTAAGGACCAAAATTAAGCAAATTTTTGGGAGAAATTCTACCCCTTTTGCTACCACTTTTAGCTCAATAATTAGAGTGTAATTAATGCTTGTGCAAAAGGAAATATTAGATTTAAAGAGAGTGGTTAGATAGAAGGTCAAATTTTAAAGAATAAATGAAAGGCTAAGATTAAACTAAATTACGGGGCAAAATTTAAAGATGAATTAAGGGCAATGATTTCACCAAATTAAGGGTGAAGATTATTTAAAGATGAATTAAGGGCAAGGATTTCACCAAATTAAGGATGAAGATTAAGTCAAAAGTCCACCAAGTTTTTCCTATAAATTTGGGTGCAAGAAAATGAGAAAAATGCAAGGAAAAATAGGAAAATACAAGGAAAACTCTTGAAACATTTTCATAGAAATTCCACCTAAAATTCTCCTAACCACCTTTAAACACTCTAAATCATCTAATTAAGCAAGGAATTCAAGATAAAAGGTCAAGAATCAACAAGTAGGAAAATTTAGAGTGGTGTCGAATTTAGAGGGAAAAGAGGGAGAGAATAATTCTCAAACAATTCAACCTTGCAAGAAAAAATTAAAGCTTATTTGAGTAAGTTAATATCACCTACACCACAATAAGTGTTTAATTGATGCCAATTAGTGATTTAGATGCTTTAATTTATGTTTATTGACCTTAATTTTGAAAATTAGGGTTAGGGTTAAGGTTCTTGACAAAGAAAAATTGAGGAGAATGATTCTAAGTTAAAAATTCATGTAATTGAAGTCTAAACATGCCAATTGAGGTTAAAATCGACGATTAAAAAAAAAATTTCTAGGGTTAGGAAGGACAAATCATTCAACTCAAATTTGTGATTTTAGGGTTTTTGATGTTTTACTTGTTTTGATGATTTATCACTTTTTTATGTGTTAATTAGATGTAAATTGATGATTAAGTGTGAAAAATTTCATTAAAATTGAAGAATTTTCATTGAATCCCTTAGGGAAGCATTTGACCTAAAACGTTAAATTTTAGGTTTGATTTCTT